CGCTGCCTATGCGCCGTGTTGGTGGACCGTGCTTGCGAGGGATTTTCTGTAACTTGGCGATGAGAATTGGTTCTTCGAGAACGGTCAGTGGAGTGCCTTTCTTCACGATCTTCATTGTGCGGGTTACCAAGTTGACCTCCTTGGGGGCCTAGCCTTTCGTGAATATTTCTCTGCGGGCGGGTAGCGAAGCACCTCTCTTCATGATCCTGATTGCGGCGATTGTCAGTTTGACCTCCCTAGGAACCTAGCCTTTCATGAACATTTCCCTGCAGGCCCAGGCGAGCTCAAACGTCAAGTCGTGGGCCGAGTCTTTCTCGCACGTTGCTTTGTGTGTGGCTTGCAGATGCTTGTGACATGACGGCAAGCTGATCACGTTGTTGTCCCTCTCCTTGTCTGCCCATTCCTGGGTACCAGTTGAGCTGCCTGCCAATGCGTTCATCCATCATTCTCTCTTTGCCCGGTTGTCCAAGGTCAAGGTTTTGAACCAAGTTTAATTGATGGAGGAGCTGCCTCATCAGATTGGTTTGGTCGTCCATCCTTTGAGCTAGCTGGTCAACTCTCATATTAAGATCTGCTTGACTTCGTGGATCGGGAGGAGAGAAGTGTGTGGAGCCCAATTGCACATGGGCTAGGGTTTCATTGGATGTGTATGGAGGAGCATGCATCGAGCGTGGAGGTAATGGAGGGAATTCTTGAAGTTGCTCCAAGACCGGGCCTAAGTCAGTGGTGGTAACGAGCCCACCTTGATGGGAGGTTCCACCATGCTCGGTGGCGGTGCCATGGAGGTTGCTAGATCCGACTGCGAGTCTGGTAGGTGGCACGGTGGTGAGAGGTGGTGGTGCCACCATGTCGATTGCGGGATCGTGGGTGAAGTGGCTTTGGGTCATCGCGGATTTAGCCATCACGGCGGTTTTGCTCCTCGTGCGCTTGCTTCCAACCATGGTTGTTTGGAAGGCTTCGGTGGATTGGACAATAGAAGGAATGAATTCCTTGAGCACGAGTTGAGTATAACTCGTGCTCTCAATGAAAGCACCAAATGTTTGTACAAATAATCTCACGGGAGAATATTCGCTTCTAGATCCTTCAACCTTCGATCTTCCTTCTCTCTCTTCCTCGATTCCTGTAAAACAGATTGGAGTAAATAGACCACACCCGGGGGTGTTGGCCAAAGGCCCTCCGATGCCTAAGTTAGTTCGAGTGTTTGTAGAAAAACAATAGCTAAGAAAATGGTACGAAGTAGTGTTTATGTAGGGTGTGAACCGGACGGCCGGGGCCGTGTGTGGTGGCCGGAGCCGTGTGGAGAAAATATGGAGAGTGGAGAGGGAGAAAGAGCTTCGGGTATTTTTCTCGGGTAT